CACCTCTGATCCTGTGTCCTTACCCTTCGCTATCACGGCCCTGCACCTCACTGAGCCTTCTCCTGTTTCTCATGATGTTCCCAGGACTGATTCTGGAGTCGTCTGTTCCCCTTCACTCTACTCTTACTCTCTCACCCATTCGTTATCGTTGGTTTGAGTCCTCTCTGTAGAGGACCCAGTGCCTGCCTGCACCAGTCTCTACCCAGGAACACAGCAAGGAACAGGACAAAGAAGGTTGATGTCGTGGAGAAGCATCCTGGTGAAAGGAGTCAGACCAGGAGCAAGGACTTAGACTGAAAATCAAATAATTTGGGTTAGTGAAGGAAGATGTCAAAAAAGAACTGGAAATGAGGCTAAGAAGCTCCAAGCAAAGAAGGTGGGCAGGAGCTGGTTTAGAAGAGGGACCAGGGCATGCCGCTCCAAGGTGAGGACATTTGAGACAAGGCTGAAGTCATAAACATCAAGGCACGGAATGGAAAACACTTCAGGATAAGGGCATGCCATGTTGGGTCCAAGGGTTGTAAAAATACCAATAATGGGTGCTTGCTGAGTTTGGCGGGTTTTGTTTTCTAATTACATGTAGCTGGGACATTGTGGACAAGGCAGAGATTTCTCAACATCTATAAGAAGACAGCCAAGGCTTAGGGCCAACTTGCTACACCACGAGTAGGATTCTAGATTGTGTTTCAGGACACTCAGATGACCTGGAAGGGATGGAGTAAGGAAAGCACAGACATGTACACAGGCACTGAGTGAACGGATTCCTCCAGTCACAGGCTGAGAATACTCAGAAAAACACAATGTGTTTAATAAAATGTACACAGTTTCTTTTTTAATTATTGTATTTATTCATTTGTGTGTGTGTGTGTGTGTGTGTGTGTGTGTGTGTGTGTGTGTGTGTGTGTGTGTGTGTGTGCTCGTGCCACACCTTGCATGTGGAGATCAGAGGACAACATTTGGAGTCTATTCTCTCCTTCCACTATGTGAGTTCTGGCCATCAGCCTTGGTATCAAGTCCACTGATCCACACGGGTGGCCTAACTTTTTTCTTGCTACCTTCCAAGCAATATAGTATAGCAACTATGTGCATACATTGCATTAGTTATTGTAAGTAACCTATAGATAATTTAAACTGTGAGGGGGGACAGATTATGTACGAACTCAACTCTACTTTATGGAATGGACGTGTGCATCTACAGAGTTGAGTATCTGTAGTTCCTGAAGCCAAGGCCCTGTGGACACCAAAACACAAATACATATGACTTTGTAAAATATAGACTGCTATGTCAACTGCTTAGATAACTGATTACATGGTGTGTTGGTCAGTTTTTCAATACTGCCACAAAATACCCGACATGGGCAAGTTAAGGAAGAAAAGGGCTGTTTTGACTCATGGTTGTAGAGATGTTGTAATATCACAGCAGGAGGGTGAGGCAGAGCAGAACTCACCTGTGTTGGTCATGAAGAAAAAAGACAGATACCAGCACTATGAGGCTTTCTCCTTTTTCTTTTAGTCCATCCAGCCCCTGCCCATCTGATGGTGTCTCCCATATTCAGGTGGTTTTGTCCTCCTTAGATAAGCCCCTTGGGGAAGGCCCTTACAGATACAGCCAGAGTGTGCCTTTCTAATCTCCTAGGTCCTCAGTCCAAGCAGGCTGGCTGTCAAGATCTGTCATCACCCATGGCCTCACACATCAGCCATAAGAGCACAATGATTGCTATCTGGGAAAGACCAAGCTATTACCAGCAAGACAGGTCCATATGGGTCACAAAGAGGAAGGGGTACTTACTGTGTTAACTGAGTTTAAAGTTCTCAGGACAAGGGCTAGAGAGGTGGGTCAGCAGTTAGGTGCAGTTGTTACTTGTCCAGAGGACCTAGGTTTGACTCTCAGCACCTACATGGTGGCTCATAACCATCCGTGTAACTCCAGTTCCAAGGGATCTGACACCCTCTTCAGGCTTCCCCAGGCACTGCATACACACAGTGCGCAGATGCACATGCAGGCCAAACAGCCATACACATAAAAATAAAATTTGAATTTAAAAGGACATCGCAGAACAAGACCAGATGTACTTCAGGGAACTTAAGGTACTCACAAATGTGGCAGACAGCTCCTGCCAGAAGGAACCAGCGGAAGAACAAAGAGACCAAACGCTCTGATTTTCAACAGAGGGGACGGGGAAGTGGCTTGTGAGAACTGAAAGCAAGTACATTTTTCAAAACCTCAAGACTTACCGAAGGAACCCTTAAAATGCTGCTGGTGAGCCGTCAGAACAGGACTGGCAAGATGCTCGTAGAATAAAGGCCCTTGCACCAAGCCGGATGACCTGAGTTCCATACACAGGATCCATGTGGTGGAAGGAGAGAACCAACTCCCACAAGCTGCCTTTGGACCTCCATACACATGCTGGGACACACATCTGCCCACATACATGCATACAAGCACACACAAAACAAATAAACACATTGGAATCAAATTTTAATGTGAAGCATTGATCCTGCTTCTTTCCTATACATTATTATAAATCTAGTTATTACCTTTTCTTCTAAATTTTCAAAATGTATCATGCTATATATGTGCAAATAGGAAAATGTGTTTTGGTCTCTGTGACTAAGCTACTGTACTTAAAAAAGAACAATTAAGCTAGTGTGCTGTCTTAGGAGCATGTCTTAGCAGCATGTCTGTTTTGCTTTTTTCTGTTCATTTGCTAAAACTCTGTCAATTGATTTTCCTTTTTCTTCCTTTATTCTTCTCTCATACATTACATACATCCCCATTGCAGTTTCTTCTCCCTCCACTCCTCCCCGTCCATCCCCCCACCTCCCCTCTCCCCCAGATCCATTCCTCCTCTATTTCCCTTCAAAAAGAAAAGAAAAAAGCAGGCTTCCCCAGGGATATCAACCAAGGATATGACCTAACAAGTTACAATAAGACTAGGCACAAACCCTTTTATCAAGGCTGGATGAGGCAACCTGGTAGGAGGAAAAGGGTCTCAATCACCAGCAAAAGAGTCAGAGACAGCCCCTACTCCCACTATTGGGAGTCCCACAAGAACACCAAGCTACACACCCATAAGGTACATACAGAGGACCTAGCTCAGATCCACACAGGGTTTGTGTTTTTCACTTCAGTCTCTGTGAGCCCTTGTGAGGCCTGCTTAGTTGATTCTGTGGGCCATGTTTTCATGGTGTCCTCTACTCTGCTGGTTCCTACAATCCTTCCTCTTCCTCTTCTGTGGTGTTCAAATTAAGTGATTTTCATGTCTACAGATGAAACCAAACTTAACCAGGAAGATATATTTCATGGCTGAACTGAAATTTGATAAAAAATATTAACAGAATTTGATGCCTGGAACTAATAAATTTTAACAGTAATTGCAAAGTTTCATAACAACATTCCCCAAATTCTATGCACAAGTACAAAATGACTCTGCAACAAGTCAGGTGAAAAACACTTCAGATTTTAACGGAACATAAGCTCATTATGATGGATGAGCTGTTCAGATGTATTTTAATCAATTTTCCTTCCTAAGTAATTGTGTTCTGATTTCACCAGATTTGTTCTGCAAAGACCACACAGAAAACATTAGCTCCTATTCGTGATGTCACTAAAGAATCACGCTGATGAACTAAAAATCCTACAAGAAAGTGGCCAGGGTGGCCTAAGGTTGGAATTGACTAGAAAATTTTTTACACTAAGGAAGCTGAGTCCCAAACAAAAAGGTCCTGTGTTGGGACATGGAGGAAATAATTCCCTTTTTAAGGAAAGTGTATGAAAAACATTTAACGAAGTTTGGGGAGTAGTACAGAATTCAAACAAGTCCAAAGAACATCCTTGAACATCAGAGGAGGTTAAGTTGTGAAGAGTCGGCTGTCACAACAAGAAAGTCCAAACTCACTCATCGGGAATGTTCCTCACTGGTTCGTGAGTTGCACCAAAAAAAAAAAAAAAAAAAAAAAAATTTTTGCTAAAGTCCATTCTGAGAACCTCAAGGCCTGATACTCAACACAAGATGGCGTTTATGACCCTATGGCTCTCTGCCCAGGAAGAAACCTGACTGGGAATCTTCTGTGACTCCGTGTGTGACATCTTAGTATGGAGCACTTCCTGTGTACTGTTCATTTACAGTCAGCTGTCACTCTGCATTCCCTTTCGAAATATCAGCGTTAAGTTGCCCCTTTCAGCGAGAGAGGAGAAGAGAAGAGGGCCGGGGCTGGGGCCCGGCTTTCTCTTCGATTCCAGGCATGCCTAATCCGTTAAATCAACTCGTGTTTATAACTGAGTGTGAAGGTTCAGGTTTCCCTTCCAGAAATAGGGCGGGGACACTCAGCAGCTGCTAGGACTAGGGAGTGGCTAAGAGTTGGAAAACGCCTCAACACCATCTATCTGCCTTTTACAAATGGTTACGAGGGGGACCGCAAAGAACTTGGGAAGCGGAAAAATCGTCCTTCTTTATCCCCACCCCAAAGCTTCTCTCAAGCCGTCATTTGGATCCAGGCTGAGCGATGAGGTGGGAACAGGTGTGCCACACCCCACCCCATTTGCCATCAGCAGAAACTGTCGTGCGGTGCCCCTTGTGTTGGGAACCTATTCATCAAGTTAAGACAAAGGCTAGGCAGACAGGACCGGAGGAGATGAGGTGGAGGGCGAAAAGAAGCCAGCCAGGAGCCAGCCTAGCACTGTGAACATTATAGATGACATCATTGTTTCAAAGAGATGTGTCCCTCCCTTTCCCAGAGCTGTAGGCAAGCATATTTGAGAGGCAGCAGGAGTAGGGTTGACTGGAGTGGGTGAACTGGTGAGTGTCTGTAACCCGGAGGGACGTCCAGACAGTAGGAGACCCGACCCGGGTGACAGCCAGCTAGCCAGACAAGAAGCCACCTCCGCTAGATGTGTTTGCGCTGCGCCCGGCTCCGCCCCTCTTCTCAGCGCGCCAGCCCTGGGAGGGGCACGCAGGTTTAGGGGAGGGAAATGTGTGTCTAAGGGGGAGGGTCCGTAGCGACCGTGGCAGTGGAGAGCCGCTTGCGCATGTCAAGGCTAGCAACACACTCGGCAAGGGGGCGGCCCTGGAGAGGGGCGGCTTGATCACCCAATCATCCCCGCGTCGGGGCTCCACAGGATCCAGGGGCGCGCTACACGGAAGGGGTTCCTTCCCTCTACCACCCTCCACCTCTGAGATCACCAACCCTACGGGAGCTCCCGCCTCTTTTCCAGCCCCCGGAGGACCTCCCGGGAGCCCGGGCCCCTGTGTACAAGTCTGAGGTGGAACAAATTCTGTAGCCCAGACGACGGTTGGAGTGGGGACACGCCCAGCCCGAGAAGCCTGCCGGAGCTCCTGAGTCTCGGTGGATCTAAGTCGGAGTGTAGCTGTCCCTAGGGGAGGCGAGAGGTGAATCAACATGACTCCTTCGACAGCCCAACATCCCTGCGCCGGTTGCGCGCTTCCCTTCCCAGCCCACTTTGCTCTGGTTGCAAAAGCTAGAAGCTGGGGAGAGATTGGAATGCCAAGATCCGGGTGGGCGGGGAGGCTACTGTCCGTGGTGCTGAGCCAAGCCCGGGGACTCGCTCTGGCGAGAGAGCACGAGGTGGCCTGAGCTGACACCCACACTGGGCTCCGGATCCCGCAGACCCCCCAGGCAGGGCGCATGACCTTTTCTTCCTCCTCCCACGCGAAGGTCGCTCCTTTAGGGACAGTTGATCTCTAAGGGTTTCCTCGAAAGAATCAGAGGGCGCAGTCCTTGACAGAGATTCTTTCTGTTTAGCTCCAGAAACCACTCACGAAAAAAGATGCCTGCCTTCAACAGATTGCTTCCCCTAGCTTCTCTCGTGCTCATCTACTGGGGTAAGTACAGCACCCTGCCCTGTAATATGCAGATAACAGGCATCATGGTAACAATAATAACACTTGATTGATGTCGCTGGTGACAAAAAGAAGCTCGCTTGGCTTCCTTCTGTGCATGTCTGCCAGACATGGGTGTCCACATGTGCTCCCAGAGAGCTGTCTTTGGAGATTGCAAAGGCACCTCCCCCACTGCCCTGTGGCTTGATTTTTTTCCCCCCTAACCTTCTTTGGTGCTTCTCCCAGCCTCCCTCCTTTCCTAATTATTCCTGTTTTCTCCCCTAGCTTTTCCCTTTTCGGAAAAGGAATGTATCATGCTTATTATTTTAAAATTCTTGCTTGCGTTAACATTGCATTATTCAGTGAAGAGTCAGTTCTGAACATCTCAGTGGGTTTGGGGGCTCATTTCTCTCTACTTTAAAAAAAATAAAAGCACAAAAGCTGGATGCATGCTTTTTTGAGAAAGAAAACACTGTAGTTCATCCATCTGTTAGATTTTAACAAGGAATCGGTGAGATAGTAGCTCCAGCCATTTGCTGGTGTGTATTAATAAATGGGAAGTGCATTTAGTTTGCAGGAACATTTGGAGCTGAGGTGCTTTGGTATTTGGTGAGCTGGATTGTTTATTTGTTTGTTTGTTTGTTTTTGCTGGAGTTTTTGTTGTTTTTCCTCTTGGTTGTCAGCTGTAAGAAACTGAGACGGCATTGCCCCTCCAGATAAGGGATTTGTGGCAATAATGCTGGGCTAAGCAGCTTCAGGCACAGCTTACAACAGGGGACCTGAATGAGTGCTAAGGGAATGGGCATCTAGGTGTTAATGAAATACTGTGATACATTTTACTGTATGTCTCTGTTTATAAGTGTGTGCACTAGCATGTATCTGAGTCTATTATTATGAGTAACTAAATGGACTAGTGAGACCCAGCAGTGTGTGTGTGTGTGTGTGTGTGTGTGTGTGTGTGTGTGTGTGTGTTCTTCTGACATCTTTGCTTTCATGTCTCTGACCTGGCCCTCAGATCAAGTATAGGTGCTCTTCAGTTCATAAATCAGTTTACATTCGTTTGTTTACCTTCCTCCAAACTCAAAAATACAACAACAACAAAAGCCATAATGGATTATGCCCACATCCCTTACAGAAAATAGGCTTGGGGAATAATGTTCCTGTGCTGGCCTTGGCTCCCATTCTTCCTGGGCAGTGGCAGGCATGCCCTCTTTGCCTTAGAGTCACTTTGTCAAGCCTTGGATACGAACTGGAGCTGCATGTATTGTTTGGATTTTGCATGTGACCAGGGGAAGAGCCCAGTTTCCTGTTGAACAAAATGCCCAATGAAACAAGAATAGGAAGGAAAAGGAAGAAAATCACGCCAACCCCAAGGGCAGACTCACCACAACCCATTCCCTGGAGACTCCAGCACGCTTGGAGAGGGAGCTGACATAATGTGCACACTGCCGCCGGTGAGCTCACCTGTCCGGAAGATCAAGGCTGCTGTTTGCTCCAGGGAAATGCTAGGGGCTGGGAGGCTTAGAAGAGGTGAGTCTGGCAGGATCAGAGAAGGTGTGGGTGAGGCTCAAGCTGTAGAGAAGGGTTGAAAGAGGTCTGTAGAGAATCTTTTCCAAACTCTAAAGTCTTAAGGTTCCTTCCTGAATTCCAGTGGGAAGGGGAAGGAAGTGGGGGGAGGGGTTGGGGGGCTGGGAGGATGCTGCAGCCTCATCAGTTTTTGATGAGGATCCACAAAACTCTGGTTTGCATCTTGGCTCTATCAGTTCTACGACTTGGTTTTTTATTAGGGAACAACCTCAGGATGTCTGATGAATGTGAAGTTTGGAAGTTGTTACACATCACATAGAACACCCTTTCAGCGCACAAACTCAATCAGAGGGGAATATTTACCGAATATTACTAGAATGTACAAAGGCCCATCCTCCCTACACCCTCAAAAATCTTTGGGACAGCTAATGATACAGGGCACATCTATCCTCGCTCATTTCACAATTTTGTAACCCAAACATGGGTTCACCGATGTTTGGCTCTTTGTAAAGAGCCTCACTCACAAGTGCAATTTTACTTTATTTGCATAAAATTCTTATATCCATTAGGTCTTTTGGTGGGCACATTATGAGGGAACGACATGGGAGTTATTTCCACTTTAGGTAGGAGAATGTGAGTTCATAAAGGACAGAGGGCTTGCTAGAGTGCTGCTGTCACCGGATCTCCATCTTCCAGCACCCTCTGTAGACGCGTGATGTTGTGTGAAATTGTCAGCTGGACATTAGTCCTGGAAGTTCTCCTTTGAGCCTCGCTCTCATCCCCCCACACCACCACCTTTCCTAGGGCTTCATCCATCCTTTATCCCCAGTGCCTTCTCTGCTTTTGCTCTCCCAAGGGTCCCTTGTACTGGGGGAATATTCTTCTTCCTCTGACAGTCCTTACTGGATCTCATTCCTTCAAGACTCTGCTAATCTGATAGACCAAATTGTTTCAGGATGTTAATGTCTAAAAATAACTTTATTCATGCACATTATTTACATTACAATTAAAGCCTTCATTATCTTACTGTAGAGGAAGCATTCTAGAGAAAGCCCAGGAAGGGTAAAAAAGAGAAAGATCTGGAAGAAGCAGAGGAGGGTTTTTGTTTTGTTTTGTTTTGTTTTGTTTTGTTTTAGTCTGTCATCCTTAATTCAACACAATTTTTTCTCATGATTGTCTTCATTATTACTTTAGAAATGAAGGTGCATTCCAAGGTGAGTGATGCAGCCCACATTGTTCCAAGAGATTATAGTCTAGAGCTTCTTCCATGTGTTCCATCTTTTGCGGGTACCTAGATAATGTCACAGAAAAAAAAAAAAAAGGCAGTGGCCTGGTAGAGAAACTGACTTCACTGTTGATGGAGGGAGCAGGAGGTCCTATTGCAGGGTGCAAGCAAATGAGGTGAGAGAAGTTTGTGGCTATTTGACAATGTACCGTCCAGGACTGCAGGAGCAGAGTTCTCTTGCCTGAAAACTGGGCTTTGGCCAGGAGAAGGTTCACAGTGGGTATGCTCTCCCAGGACACGCTAAAGAGGGCAGTTACACTGCATACACTGCCACCGACCACCCAGACTGTACAGTGTGTTTCCTGTCTTCACTACAGTGAGTGACTGTGCTCCTCCTCTGCAGCCCAGTCTATGTGATCACGAGGACACAGCCCCCAGTCTACCCACCATTGTTAAGCCAGCTCTGCTATCACCTAGGCCAAAGAACCCCCAATCTCACCACTATAAAACTTGTTTAAATTTAAAAAAAAAAAGTGTGTGTGTGTGTGTGTGTGTGTGTGTGTGTGTGTGTGTGTGTGTATTGGTGTGGAGGTATGTCTACATGTGTATGGATGCCCTAGAAGCCAGAAGTGGGTGTTAGATCCCCTAGAGCTGAAGTTACAGATGGGTGCTGGGAACCAAATTCAAGTCCTCTACAAGAACAGCAAGTACCCTTAGCCATTGAGCCATCTCTTTAGCTGCCTAAAAAGTTTTTATTGAATTTATTTCTTAAAAAAAAAAATGTTAAGCAAGGCGGTGGTGGCGCATGCCTTTAATCCCAGCACTTGGGAGGCAGAGGCAAGCGGATCTGTGATATTTCTTGTGTGGGGAGAGTACATGCCACTGTGCACGTATAGAGGTCAGAAGAGAACTTAGGTGAGTTGGTTCTTTCCTTCTATCATGTGGGGCTGAACAAACTCAGGTTTGTTTAACTTAGCTGGAAGTGGCTTTATTGTCTGCGCCATCTTGCCAGCCCCTGTACCAACCTCTTAATCACTTTTTCTGCTTTTACCTTTGAATGCTTTTCACCTGCCAATTTATTCTCCCCTTGGCATACTGACCATGCTACGTAGTCACAATCGAATTTTTCAACTCAGAACCTTCAAGGTCCCCTAGTTCTTTTTTTTCTTTTTTAATTTTATAATTTGATTTAATTTTACATATCAGCCATGGATTCCCCTGTCCTCCCTCTGCCCCCCTCCACCCTCCCCTCAGCCCATCCCCCATTCCCATCTCCTCCAGGGCAAGGACTCCCCTGGGGATTCAGCTCAGCCTGGTAAATTCAGTCCAAGGCAGGTCCAGTCCCCTCCTCCCAGGCTGAGCAAAGTGTCCCTGCATAGGCCCCAGGTTCCAAACAGCCAGCTAATGCACTAAGGGTTCCCTAGTTCTTGCTGTGCGAAAGTCAAAGCTGGAACTGTGGCCTATAAGACCAGCGAGATGGGACCTTTCCCTCCCTCACTTGTCCCATCTCTCGGCTCTGTTGGCTGGTTTTCCACACTGGGCTTTGCTGTTCCTCAAATATGGCAGGCACACTCATTTGAACCCTGGAGTGGCTGTTTTCTCTTGGTAGTCATGACCTCACACACACACACATCCCTGTGGTTTCTTCTCTCTTTTTCCTTCAATGACTTCCCAGTGCCAGTGTTCCATTCTTAGTGAGGCCGACCCTGATAATATGATCTTCTCCTCTCCTTGCCTTGTCTCCCCTCCCCATCTCTCCTCCCTCTCTCCCCTCTCCCTATTCCTTCTCTCCCTTCTCTACTGTTTTATGTTGTTCTGTAACCTGCTTGTACCATCCACATTGGAATTCAGGCTCCAAGAGAACTGGGATGGTTTTGTTTGGTTCTGGGTGCCTGGAACAGTACTGGCTGCACAGTGGGTACTCAATACATTCACCAAATAAATGGAAGATAAAAACCAGTATTAATAATATTTATTCAAAGCACATTCATGTGAATTAATCCATAGGATTTTCATGACCTATCCACTGGGTGTTTTATTAAAAAAAAAAAAAAATTGAGCTGGGCGGTAGTGGCACATGCACGCCCTTAATCCCAGCACTCAGGAGGCAGAGGCAGAAGAATCTCTGTGAGTTCGAGGCCAGCCTGGGCTACAGAGTGAGTTCCAAAACAGGCTCCAAAGCTACACAGAGAAACCCTGTCTTGAAAAACAAAAACAAAAAAAAATATTGAATAAACTGAGTCTCAGAGAAGTTAGGTAGTTAGTTAAATACAGCCCCTAAGTTTTCAAACACAATTCTCACATTGCTTCTATAGCTGTAGTTGAGCGTTCCTTGGGACGTTTCCTTTCATGCCTCTGAGGCCATCCATATTGATCTGGTTTGTCTTTGTTACCTCTGATTAGATATGAGGATCTATGTTACATGGAGTTCTTGCTGTATAAACGTTTACACAACGATGCTTTTTAGTTGCCTTGAAAGCGAGTCTATAATGAAGACTATAAGTTTACCACATACCCAAAGTGTTCCTAATCGTTTCCCCCAAGATGTGGACCCTTCTTCATTAAAACAATGAAACCCATTTTCTGCAGACTGCTGGATAAGGCTAGCCCACTTCCCTTGAGGGTTTAAAAGCCAATTAATTTTTTTTTTCATTTAGAACATTTTAAAACTTTAATTATAGTGCCAACAGGCTCTAAATTCAAAGTTTAAAATTAAATATGCTGACATTGAGCTAGTTTTAAAATATCAGTGTGTATTGTTTCATCTTGGAGAGTCTGTGTTTATCATTAATTCATGGAGGGGGATCAGAGGATCCTTCAAAGTCCCAATACAAGGACTGTTGGTGGTTGTTATACTTTTGAATCTTCCAAATAATTAGGTATAAAATCTCTTACCTAACAGCTTTTTTTTTGTATTTATGAACAGCTGCAGTATCTGAAAATATATTTTATTTTTTAAGTTTTATTTATTTTGAGACAGAGTCTTATGTAACTTAGGCTGACCTCAAATGCAGTAAGTAGTGAGGAAGACCCTGAATTTCTGACCCTCCCGCCTTAACATCCTGAGGGCTGGGACTGCAGGCATGTACCACCACACCTGACTTACTCAGGGTTGAAACCTCGTGCACATTAGGCAAGCACTCTACCAACTGAACTACATCCCCAAACCAACATTTGTTATTGTTTATTGGATACAGGGTTGTTCTCAGTAGCCCACACTGTCCTCACACTTGCAGCAATCTGGGCTAAGAGAGATTTTTCTAAAGTTAGATGTGATGACACATGCCTGTAATCTCAACTCGGAGACTGAAGCGGGAGGGCTGTGAGTTCAAGGTTAGCCTGGGCAACACAGTAAGACCCTGTCTCAAAACACCAAAAGAAAAACAAATTAGCTGCACTAAATTGATTTTTTTTGTAACTTTTAAAGTTGAGTATAATTGAATTTCTTTTCCATTTGTTGGCCTGAAATGTTTGAAGACAAGCATATTCTGTGTCCAAGTTGAGCACCCCGCGTTCCCACATTTGTTCCTTGGCAGGTCTTGTTGATGGGCCTTCCTGCTCACCTTTGGGTGAGCACTCACTGAATGGCCTCCTTTTGTTAAATGTGACATGTTGAGCTGAACATACCATCCGGATTTGTTCTGAACATTGCAGAATTACCCTACTTCCCTCTGCACACTGTACATCTGTTAATGCATCCCACATTTGTTCTTGCTTTCTTGGCTTCTGTGTCCTGCTTTTGATTCACTCTAAATTTGCAATCTGACATAGTCACCTTCTCTCTTTGGACTTGGGAGTTTCTAGAGGGCAGGCACCAAAAGCCTAAACCTCCATGTGCCATACAAGGTGTCTGGTCGTCTGACCCCTCCAGCATTTGAATTTTGTCTCTCTACTCTGCCCAGAGCTTGCTCCAGATGAAATGGTCTATTCACCATTTCACAGTGATGCTGCACCATCCTCCATGGGTCCCCAAACACAGGTCTAATTCCCTCTCCCCTTGGCTATAGAGCCCTGGATTTATTATACCACAAAGCACATGCAGGTCTTTCCAGCATGGGTCTTATTTGCCTTTCTATCTCAGATCCCAGCAGCCCTTTCTTCTCCCCAGCCAAAGCACAAGTAACTACTTGCCCCTCTATGGGAACTGGGCACATTACTAACATGAACTCTTGTGTGTTCTGGTTGAATCAGCACGAGAAATGTATCCTCTGTTAGGTTATAGATGCATGGAGAGCATGGCTAGTGTTTTGTTCATTCTTGGGTCTCTAGCATCAGACCTGGCAAAGAATGGATTCTCATGACTGCTGGATGAGTGATCAAGTGGATGGACAGTTGACAGATGGGAGCATGGTCTGTCTCCCACTAGACTCTAAGTCCATCCTATGCTGCATCTTCATGGCTTCCAAAACCTCCCAGTCAGTGTTGGAGGATCCACCTCCGCACCGTCTTACTCTAGACCCATTCTGATCACGCGTACTCAAGGAGCCCCAGAAACAGGTGCACACATGGGTCTCGTTATTTTTCAAGTGTCTCATGATTCTTTTTTCTCTGTCTCTCCTCCCTCCCCCCTCATTCCCCAATGCCCACTCTGGTTGTCCCCTTCCGGTCACCCATCCTCTCTCCAGTCAGAGTCTGCTTCCCTGTGTGTGTGGAAGTACCCTCGGAGACGGAAGCCGTGCAGGGCAATCCCATGAAGCTGCGCTGCATCTCCTGTATGAAGAGGGAGGAGGTGGAGGCCACCACTGTGGTGGAATGGTTCTACAGGCCTGAGGGCGGTAAAGATTTCCTTGTATGTCAGATGCTGCCTCTGGCCTTTCTCTTGCTGGTCTATGCTGTTGTATGCCTGGTCCCCAACAGTCTGGGGGATGATGCCCTGATATGACATTCACGCCTCTCCTGAGCACTAACATCACCTTGGCAGATAACTGACAGCCTTATAGGAACCCAGGGTCTTTGCAAGACAGGCCACTTGGTCAGCTGTGAGCAGCCCTCGTTACAAGCAGAAGAAGGGGTACAAGGAGGTAAATGTGTTGAGAGAGCCTGTGTTAGCTAGGCACCCTGGTAGACCTCTTATAGGTGTGTTCATCTTCTACACAGTCCTATGAAGTGGATTTAATGGGCTTGAAAGAAAGAACGCAAGGCAGCTTTATGTAAAGTAGCGTCAGTGAGCTCTTTCAACTCTCACAGTCCCAGTGGAATAGAAACAACTGGGATGACCAGAGCTTATATCAACTGATATGCCCCGGACAGCCACCTCTGTGGGTAAACTGTTTAATTAGTTCTTGCCATGCTCTGTATCCCAGGTGGTCATGTTGTCATTCTCCCAAGGAAGAACCCTAAACCTCCCAATGATCTAGACACCACGGGATTCACCCCTGTCAGGGCAAGAAGCCCTCAAAATTCTGTGCCAGGATCAGGGTCAATGTCAGTTCCGGGTGGTTTGGGACAGTGCTCATGGGGTTGTGATTCATTTAAATCACTGTCAATCCTTTCATTGATTCTGGAGCCAGGCTGCCTGGGTTGCATTCTGTTCTTCACACTGTTTAGCTCCATGCCCTTAGACATATTCCACCTCTTTATGCTTCCAGTTTTTTTTCCTTTGAAGTGAGAATGAAAACAAAAGCTTCATTAGGGGATTGGTAGCAGGACTCATGAGCTCTGATTTTTAATTCATTTTAAATAGCCCTTGAAATACAATGTGTTTGTTAGGGAAACTGAAACTCAGAGGAGAGTCTACATTTGAACACACACACACACACACACACACACTCACACACGCACACACGCATACACACACATGCACACACACATACACACACACATGCACGTGCACACACACACTGTTTAGATTTGTACATGGTGGTCTGTCAGCAGATCCAAGGCTCTTTCTAGATAGAGCTCTACCTTGCTCTCCTGGGTCTCTTCCACAAGACCTACTGGAGACAACAACACAGTGAAATTGACTTTCACTTGTTCATTCTTTCTTCCCCCAAGGTCTATGCATTTCTGATTCTAGGTACTGCGTGGTATTGGAATCTAGTTTGGCTCCAACCTGGTGCCAAGGCAAGGACCAGCAGCGACTTCTTAGAGTCTTACTTAAGCCCGAGTCACACACCAGGGAAGGTACAAGTGCCCAATGCTAGGAAGCCAGAGGTCTTGGCCAGATGTGAAGGGCCCATGGGCTTCAGACCTGGTCACATGTTAGCTGCATTCACTGCTCACATGCCTGTCCCAAACTACAGGGTGCAAGTGAGGAACTAAACTGCAGTTAATGTCTAGGAAAATGAGCTTGAATTTTAGTCAACACCCATGGTTAGTGGAGACTAGATGGAGAAAGCAAGAAAGGATGCTTGCTGTATCCTTGAACACACAGAGAACCACATGACTGCCTCATGACTGCCTGTCTGTACACACCTACAGGTCTTCTATGCTTAGTACTGAGATTAAAGGAGTATGTCTCCATGCTTGCTGTATCCTTGAACACACAGAGATCCATGTGTGTCAGAGAGTGGAAGTGTGTGAGAAAGAAGTTGGAAGGAGCTGACTCTGGTTCTAATTCAGCCCAAAGCAAAAGCTCTGCATGTCCCTCGATTGTGAGTTCTCTGCTCACTGACCATCCTTCCACATTATAGATTCCCATCTGTGGCCTGGCCACAACCACCATGATGGATGCCGGCTCAGAGAGTCAGGCGTTAAGCTCAGGGCTGTCAGGTATCTTCCCTGCTAACACAGCTGTCTTGTTGGTCTCTATATCCTGCTCCCTTGCTGGCCTCCTCATCACATATCTCACTGTCCTTCCTTACCCCCTTTCTGTCCCCAACCTTTCCTTTTCCTGTTCCTAGTCTCCTTTGTGTATCAACCACCCTCCTTTCTTCTCCACTCCATTCTTTTTTTTTTTTTTCCTCCCAGGATTCTTTCTGACTCCTCCATGTTGCCTCTCCCGTCACCATGTCCACATGCCCAGACATCTGTTTGCCTCTGCCCGCTTTTTTGTCTCCACTTTCTCCCATGGCTTCCTCTGTGCCTCTTTACCCCACCCACCCCCCACCATGCTCTGGGTCTTCTGGGAGCATCATCCCTTAGCTTTCCTGCCCATGGAAACTCCTGTTCCTCCTTCCACCCTGTCCCTACCAGGCTCTCTTGCCACCATCTGCTTCTGCTCCTCTCTCTGCAGATATATGAGTATCGAAATGGCCACCAGGAGGTGGAGAGCCCCTTCCAAGGTCGTCTGCAGTGGAATGGGAGCAAAGACCTGCAGGATGTGTCCATCACCGTGCTCAATGTCACTCTGAACGACTCGGGCCTCTACACGTGCAATGTGTCCAGGGAGTTCGAATTTGAGGCACACAGGCCCTTTGTGAAGACCACGAGACTAATACCCTTGAGAGTCACTGAAGAGGGTAAGACCGAGGCCTGGCGTCTCTTCAGTGGGGTTGGGGGTGGAGGACAGTGGCTTTCCCCACACGTGATCCTTAGAGAGCACATAAGGTGATGCATGCAGACCTGCCTCCCCTGCATGGCCCCCTTCCTACAGCCTGCCTCATCAGAGTCTCTTCCCTCAAAGCAGACAGGCTAAAACAAGATACTAGGATACCTTCCCTGGTCCCCTAGAGAAAAAGGACAGCCCCCACAGGTCTACAGCTAACAATCCAGGCCCTTTTCTCTGGCTAGTGTTGAGTCTCCAATTTATATGTAAACGTCATCTCTTCTCCTGTTTTGAGTCACATGTATCTCCAAACAAGTTGCTTTCAAAATTTAATCTCTTCAGTTTTACATTTTTAAGTTTACATTTCTTTCTCTCTCTCTCTCTGTCTCTCTCTCTCTGTCTCTCTCTCTCTCTCTCTCTCTGTCTCCCTCCCCCCATCTCCCTGTCTCTGTGTGTGTGTGCATGCACACACACACACATCTCTGCATGCAAGTCTCTTTGCATGTACACACATGTGCCATGGTATACATGTGGAGTTCAGAGGACAACTCATGGGAGCTGGTCCTGTCCTCCTACTATGTGGTAACAGGACTGAACTCAGTTCATCAGGCTTGGTCGCAGGCACTTTTACCTGATGATGCATCTTGCTGGCTCTTCTCCCTCTGTAGTAGCTCTACATGCATCTATCCTCAGCCAGGAGTGGGAACAAGTTGATAGCTCTTTAAAGTCGACAGTCTTTAAAGTCAACAGTCATTGAGTTCATTGGTGGCAGGTGGGAAGGTCTGTCAATAACTAACTTGTGTTATATGTCCCTTGCGATCTGAGCCCAGAATTGTGGGGGAACCCCACAAACTGCTTCTGCACCAACAGGAGACTCAAAGAACTGCGGTTCGTGGCCCTGGCAAATGCTTCTTCCCAAGTCCGAATGTGAACTCCGCACCTCCTTTTGTGTTCCCTTACCAGGGCTAAGCCACCATGCCATTCTCACACCCGCTCAGACAGTCACATTTCCAGCACGTTCTTACTGCTGCCCTAAGACACAGGCTGGTGAGCGGGCAGTGGTGCGGGCCATGAAATAGAAGTCAAGTACAGACAGGGCTTGCCCTAGGCAAGGGAATAGAGGGATCACAGCCTCTGGGCCACCGGCTGATTTAAAATCAAAAAAGTGTCATCGTTATAAAATCTAGAAAGTGACAGCTTCTGGGTCTTGCGAGTGAATGACACTGAGACACTCTAACTAACTAGAGTGGAGGGTAGGTCTGGCTCTGAAAGTGTCGCAGCAGGCTCAGGCCACCTGAATGAAAACTTGTTGATTCTACTCTCCGAGCTGTGTCCGCTGGAGAGGAAGCAGAGGGGTTGAACAGGAAGCTCTCTGAGGTATAACTCCGTTCAAACGTTCCATTACCCGCCTTTGTTTATGCAGACTTTCCTCCCGGGGGAAGGGAGCCTGGTGCCATCTTGTGTTCACCACCAGGAACTGTTGGCTGGTGCCCGCCTGCAGGCAGGTGCTTTGGCCTCTATAGATGCTGGGGACACAGACAGTGGACAAGTGTGGCACCACTGTGCTAGCCTGCCTGTTTGTCACCAGAGCAATCCTCCAGCAAGAAGAGAGGGAAAAACAAAACAAAACACAAATGCGTCATTAGAAGGCCAGAGCTGTGCAGTGGTAGGGCCGGGAAAGAGTGTGGAGAGTATTTAATTGGGGTGCCTCCACATCACCCTGGCAGGTCTGACTTCAGTAGCTTAAGGTCCAGTATGTGTGCATGTGGCTCCCCTTGAGTTCACAGAGGGTCTAAGTGTGGTGAGAGTGCTCTGGGGAGCGACAGGCTTGCTTGGGAACATGAAGTGGCATGAGCATCAGGACTAACGTCCCCCTCTTTCCAGTACCAAGTCAACCCTCCCGACTGCATCTTTTCTTCTTTCGCCATCTCCTCCCCGAGATGCTTTCCCTCTGTTTCTGGTTTTTCCCTTGGAGCCCCCCTAGCAGCCCTCCCCACCCTCATATCACTCACAGGTACACGTGACGGACGTTTGTTTGTCCCACTCCTGGGGCCCCAGGGAATCTGCCTGGTTCTCCTTGTTGGCTTTTTCCAGGCTTAGTCTCTCTATTCTCATTCTAAGACAGGAAGCTGTGGCCTCTTCTCCTACAGGTGACAGAAATACAAAGGGAACCTTCCTGTTACTACCTCAGGGCTATTGCACTAAAATGGAAATACCACACTTTAAGGCAAGCCTATCACACACATGGACCAGGTCATAGCAGAAGACAGGTGTGGGATGTGTTCCTATTCGCACACTCCCAGCTTCACCCATGAGCCCCAGCTCCAGCAGGAGAAAGCAAGCTGAATGTCTATGTATCTAGATTTGAGAAGCAGGCTCGCACTTCAAAAATACATTCTCACAGTCAGTAGAAAAGAAACACAGCCCAGTTCCTCCCGGGAGTGATTTTACTGGCTGGGTGAAAATGGTACATGGATGTGACAATCCTCCCCAAGACCCTAAAAGAAGTTTCCCCTGGAGGGGCTTTCGGCAGAATCTAGGGTCATTCTCGGGAGGCTGAAAGGCAGGACAGGGTCCCATGACAGAGGTGGCCATGGGTGTGGCATACATTGTAGAACGAGGCAAGAGATAAAAACCAGATAGTTGAGAACACCAGTACATAAGAGAGGTTATGGCTAGGCAAATGGGAAGGAAGTAAGAAAGGATGGACTACAAAGGGCCATACACATCATGTCAGTAGAGACAGGCTTTATCATGGAGTGCGAGGGAACATGGAAGGATTTAAACAGAGAAATGGAAGAATGCATCTGTTTCAGGAGCAGAACTGGGAAGAGTTCCCATAAGTTTACTGAACCCTCCAGGACTGAACCTTCCAGCACCACCTGGAAGGCCCTCATTTCTCCTTCCAGACCCATGGAGAACATGCTTCTACCACTGGGTGGGCTGACTACGGTAGCCCTAAATGACCCTTCTCTCTGGGGTCACCACTGCTACTACCTGTGGCTCAGGGGTCATATGTGGCTAGAATAAGCCATGTTCTTTGTATCCATGTAGAGTTTCACACCTGACAAGATAGCTGGGCCATTTTGATGTTGTGTTTATTTGTTGTGTAGTGCTGGGGGTATGAGCTAAGTGTTTTGCAATTGTGCGCTCCCTGAGTTCATCACAGCTATCATGAGACCCTCAAATATACTGAGTGATGTAACATTTACAGTAATCCAGACTACTGTGAATTATTATCCTTATTTTACAAATTAAGAAACTGAGACTCAAAAGAAATGAATATTTAGTCACGCGGTGGTGGTGCACGCCTTTAAACCCAGCACTCAGGTGGCAGAGGCAAGCGGATCTCTGTGAGTTCAAGGCCAGCCTAGTCTACAGAGTGAGTTCCAGCCACGATTATTACACAGAGAAACCCTCCTCAAAAAATTAAAAAAAAATGAGTATTTATATAGTATAACTTGGATGCAACTGATTGTTTGTTTGTGTGTGTGTGTGTATGGTGTGTGTGTGTGTGTGTGTGTGTGTGTGTGTGTGTGTGTGTGTACTAACACACAGTATCTGCAATCATTCTGACTCTATCATTCCCCTCATCCTTATGTCCAGAAAAGCTGACTGGTCAAGTGGGAAATCTGATAGGGAGTCAGGCAATGTGGATTCCTTTGATATCCTCATAAGTTCCTTTAGATTTGGTGTTTATTTGAGCTATATTTAAAAATAGGCTTCGTATATCTATGAGTCCAGTGACAGCTCTGGGTCTGTGAGACACACGTATTCTGAACTTCATTCTCCTTGTAGCGGGAGAAGACTTCACCTCTGTGGTCTCAGAAATTATGATGTACATCCTCCTGGTCTTCCTCACCTTGTGGCTGTTCATTGAGATGATCTACTGCTACAGAAAGGTCTCCAAGGCTGAAGAGGCAGCCCAGGAAAATGCGTAAGTCCAAAGATGCATAAATAATAACAGCTCACACATTCAGAATGTGCGCTGTCAGTGGTGAGCGATTAGGCATCTCATATACTTTGTCTACATTCCTCTTCTTAACAATCTAATAAGAACTCTCCCAGAACTGGGCAGCAGTGCTGCATGCCTTCAATCCCAGCACTCCGAGGCAAAGACAGGTGGATCTCTGTGAGTTCAAGGCCAGCCTGGTCTACATAGAGTTTCAGGACAGCCAGGGCTGTTACACAGAGACACCCTGTCTCAACGCTCCCCTTAAAAAAAATCTATAATGGATACATTATTATATATATTCTACAGATAAAAATAATAAGCCTAGAAGGGGTTCTGTTAAGGCCATTGTAAGTCATAGACTATCTTAGTTACTATTGCTGTGGGGAAAAAAAATAACAAAAAGCAACTGGGGGCAGGGAGGGTTCATTTCATTTATACATCCACATCACTGTCCATCCTTAGAGAAAGTCAGGCCAGGAACCTAGAAGCAAGAACCAAAGCAGAGGCCGTGGAGGAAATTTTCACTCCTCGTGGCTTACTCGGGACCACCCACAGTGAGATGGTTCTTCCAACATCAATCATCAATCAAGAAAATGCCCCATAGGCTTGTCCGCAAACCAGTTTGGCAGGGGCATTTTTTTTTTCTATCGAGGTTACTTTTCCTAGCTTGTGTTGAATTGACAAAACATTAGCCATCACAGAGACAAATCAAGATTTGAATTCAGGCCAGCTGTCTCTTGGCCTGCATATTAAGCCACTATGGAATAGACATGCAGCTGCCTCATAAGGTTATATATTATCATAACCAGTTCGTAAATGTTGAGTTGAGGCTGCCTCACAGAAGGCAAGCACATTGCTGAGGAGAATGGGGAAGCGGGGAATTGAACCCAGGCCTTCTAGCCTTAATATCTGTGCTCTTTCTGTCATACCCAGCTGTTCTCTCTCTGCATTCTGGAGCACGTAAACCCACCTGGGCACTGCCTTTAGCTAAGGAGTGCCACAAAGCATGCCCTTCCCTTTAAGACTTGGTAGCAGTTGAATACCTCAAGCAGGGGATCTAGTCCCCTAGTGTCCCACCTCTACTTTCCTCACTTTCTCCAAAGACTGTCACACAAGAGTGAGCACCTGTGAGAAGTGTTGGAGTCGGTAAAGACAAAGGGGCTCAGAAACCCTATTGGCCTGTTGTTTGGGAAAAGAAAATGGAGGTGTATGTATGAAAAAAGTCCACAGACATCTGGTGACACTGCTAAATGCCAAGGCCATTATTGCCTAGACGCTTTTGATAAAATTTAAATTGACTCATTTTGTGATACCCATGATCTCAGAGAAATAAAAATTACAACCAGTTATGTGTAAAGACAGTACTCAGGGTTGAATAGAGGACACTGAGGCTTGGACATGATGATGAACCTCCAACTTTGGCTCACACAAGAAACAGAGTAGGAACTAAGACTCTAGTACAGCCAGAATCCCAGGAGGGTTACAAAGGGTAGACCAGATGGCAGCCAGCTTTGAGAAAATCCAAGGTTATCTATGCTGGTCTGACTCCAAGAAAAACCAGAAAAGATTCTTGGAAGTAAGTAATGACAAGCTTGCTGTCACAGTATTTGGGATTTAAATAGATCCTATGCACATGATCAAGGAAACTTAATATGAGAAATTTGATTCAAAGCTATAGAAATAAGAGGAAAAAAAAAAAACATTGCAAAGGGGCCCACTCTCAGCCAAGGCCTCAGAAGATGCCCCAGGCAACTGAGGCTAGATCTCCTCCATCATCTCTTTCCAAAATAAAGCTCACTGAAGACAGAAATTGAGCTGAGCAAGAGATGTTACAGACAGCAAGATTAAGTCCCAAGAGACTCAGACATACTTCTATGAAAATAAAGCATAGAAGATAAGCTTGTTTAAAATAGAGCAGGGTGAGGCTCAGGAGGAAAGCGTATGCCTTGCCTGTGAGAGGCCCTGAGTTCAATTCCCAGCACCACACAAAAATGAACAAAATATAATACAGGAAGAAAAAAAAATTAGAAAAAAAAACCCACAAAGCCAAAGAGCAAACAATTTGCTAAGAAAGATTAATCAGAGTTAATTAATTAGAAAACAAAACAAAATATTTTTTCCGAGGGGAAAAAAAAAAAGACAATAAACTACTCAGTGAATTAGTTCAACAGAAGATTATGTACCGGTGACCAGAAGGTAAATTTGAAAAAGTTACATAGAATATTGCGCAGATATAGAAAAGGTGAAGTATAACAAAGAAACAGGAAGGGGGAATGAGATGATACATTATAGAAGACAGCAAATGTGGGAGAATTACACGTGCTCAGAGACAGGCCAGAAAGGAACACATTCCCTAACCAGAAGGCTAATGGTCATGATCCTCTACATAGGATGCCTCATTTTAAGAGTATTTTAGATTATAATGATGTGAAAGCAATATATGTTCAGCAGATATTACTTCAGGGGTTGGATTCTGATAGCAACCCAGACTAGTAATACATTTGCTCGCTCCTGATACCAAGCAGTCACTGTGAACCTCAGCCTCCAGTCAGCAAGAGGCACACACGTGTTTGCTAAGTAAGCTGTGATTGTCGGTAAGGTTGGTATGCTAAATGTATTATCAGGACATGACCCTCTAAATTAAGGACTGTCTTATGTCCTGAGTAGGGTGAATACATAAAGCTATACCTAAACACAAATTTCCTTTAAACAGATAAATGGCAGCTACCTGGGTATTCTACATCAGCATCATTTGAGATGAAACTTTGGAAGAAATACTTCTAATATCATAAATATGACAAGGATGCTATCTCTCCCTGTTCCTATTTAATACTTACTATATTTTAAACCTTGGGTAAAATACTAAGAAATGCACTTCATTTTTTGTCCTGTTGCTTTGATAAAATACTCTGACAGAAGCAACTTATGAGTATAGGGGTTTATTTGGCTCACAGTTCAGGTTACAGCCCAGGCAAGTCACAGTAATGGGAGCTTGAGAGGACTGGTCACATTTCATCTACAGTCAAGGACAGACAGCAGTGAATGTATGCATGATAATGCCCAGCTTGATTCCTTTTATACCGTCTAGGATCCCAGCCTAGGGGATGGTACCACCCACAGTTAAGATGGGACGTCCTGTATTGGTCAATGTAATCAAAACAATCCTTCACATTTTTAGAGGCTAACCTGAATCTACACAATTTCTCACATGTGCCCAGAGACTTGCCTCCTGACAAATGATACTAATCATCACAAATATAAAGAAAAGCAGAATAGAATTTACAAAGAAGGAAAGTATATTATCATTACTTACACCCAAAATATCATTATCTACATAAAACTTCCTTAAGCAACCTAGTTAAGTATATTCTATAAGGTCACTGATACAAATCCAACTTCAGTCATGTATCATTCAATCACAGACCACATATACCATAGTGACTTCAGAAAATCACATCACCGAATGACAGTTTTGTTTGTGCACTTATACTTTATGATGTTCACACAAGGACAAGATCATCTCATAAGACAGCTCTCAAAAGATGTCTCTGAGGGAGAGCAAAGCAAGAATCTCCAAAACATTGACTATGTCCCGGCAACAAATGTAGAAGCATTTTTAAATCCTTAAGTTAGAAAAAAATAATGAACTGCAGTAAGGGCTGAGAAGATGGCTCAGCAATTAAGAGCACTTGCTGCTCTTGCAGAGGACCTGGGTTCCATTTCTGGTACCTACAGTGCCTCACAACTGGCTGTCATCACAGTTGCAGGGGATTCAGCGCCCTCTTCTGACCTCCACGGGCACCAAGAACAAACATGGTACACATACATACATGCAGGCAAAACATTCATTACACATTAAAAAAAAAAACTTTAAAAAAATTTTAATTACAATACATAACAAATGTTCACCAGTACCTGGGAATAAAGACAACAAAAGATGTGAAAGACCTATAAGGAGAAAATTACAGAACCTTGCTGAAAAACATGAGAAAAAGCAAATGGATAGAGGTTGAAACCTCACTCTTCAATGTAGTTCTTGCCCGAAATAATCTTCAAAGTCAATGAAATTCCAATAAAAACCTCTATTGGATTTCTCAGGGAATCTGATAAATTCATCTTAAAGATCACACAGGAGAGAAAAGAGCCAACAAAACTTTAATCTGAAGCACAGCTTGATTAATTTAGGTTTTGCAAAGCTACACGGGACTTCTGTTAGAGTATCCCTCTGGGTTTTTCCGTGTACAGTGCTTTACACAGGTAACTATACTTGTGGGTCAGAAGTTTGCCCACCACTGACCTGAGTCAGTTCAAAGAAGAAAACAGCACATCTGGAAGATGGTGGTGGTAGGATTTGTCTTATGGGCTATAAAGATTGCTCATAAGGATATCAGAGAATTGCTTCTCTGCTTATTGACTAAAGCTGCATGTGAGACTAGCAGAGACAAGTTTATAATACTAAAGTTAGATTACCCATCTCTCCACAAACCAAAATAAATTGGGGGTAAATTTTAAAAGTGGAACATAAAACTTGAAAATTGCACTAACAGAGTAGAAAAAAATTATGTGTAAACAGAGAAAATTCTCTTTTATTGTAGTTGAATAAGAATTTATATTTGTAGCATCATGTTTTGCAGAGAAAATTCTTCAATAAATACCAAAAGTGCAAATCAAAGATGGGGAAAAAAGGTAATTTTCACTACATTACCTGTAAAACGTCAATTGTTCATGATAAGAAGTTATAAGAAAACTTATTAACAACAGATTGGGACAAATTTTCCAAACATGAAACAACAAAAAATAATTAAATATTTCAGGTGAAAAAACGAGATTATAGAAGTAGAAAACAAGACAGCTTGCAAACACCAGTATAAAGCAACTATGAAATACAAATTCATAACCATTCAGTTTAGTTAAAATATCAGTCTATATCCTGAAGATGATAAGAATGAGACACTATAAACAGCTGCAGGACCTGCAGAGATAGAGAAACATCTCTGTCTACAAATTAAGCCAATTATTTGGGAAGCAGCTGCTGGGTTATTGGAGACAGGCAAGCAGGCAAGAAACTGCTGGTAGATGTGTTCATATGCAAATATGGGAGGGGTTATTGCTATATCTGCTTAGTGGCTAACTGGAGATTTGTCTTGGGAAGCCCAGCCATAAGGAAATACAGAGCTATTCTGTACACAGCCTTGTCCCTGGGTCACATGCCTTCCTGTTTCCTACACGTTCACCAGTGACTTACTAAAGCACTGCCTCTTTCCCCGGCCCACACCTTTGCAGGTCTGACTACCTTGCTATCCCTTCAGAGAACAAGGAGAACTCGGTGGTCCCCGTGGAGGAATAACGTGGTGTGACTTGAGGTGATGTACAGGGTTTGGGGAGGGTAAGGTGGGTGTGGATGGCATGCCATACAAATGTTGTTTGACGTCCACAATTGAAGTGACATTCAATTTGGTCTTTTCCACTCTGCATAGCAGTCCCACCCTCTGGGTACTTAAGTCACAATGCCCTCCATTATGTCAAACCCTTCAGAAGCTGAATTGACTTTGGCCTGAATGTGGTGCAACCCAATCCCCTTGCTCGTGATAACAAAGGCATAATAATTCTCTCATTCCCTCTTTGGTCCAAATGTATTTGGGAAGGGCTGGGCTGGACTTTCTCAGTAAGTTCTTCTGTTGTTGGTAGGTGATCTGAGCACTGAGGGACTGGATATTCCCAGTTCAGTGATGTCAGCAGCATCAGCAAGGTGCCCCAGGAGTCCCAGTGCATCTGTCTTTCTATTCATCAACCACCCACCCAACTGTGAGATTTTACCTGACTTCCAAGCTCTATTGGAACTCTACACATCTTGCCTGAACTGAAGAGCCAACATCTCCGACATGGACTAAACCTCACTCTGTCCTTGCTTTCAAGCAAGCAGCTCCCAACTCCACTAAAGTTGTCCCCTATGCTCCAAATGACTTTAGATAAGTACTGGAGAGTAGTGTTCCCTCTGCCCAAACTGTCTGCAATTGGGTCGTTCTCCACTGCTACAAAACGAATGATGTATACCAGAAGGAAGCATTGGTCAGTTTGGGTTAAAGCCGAAGCATGCTGTGCGCTTAGATTCACTGAAGTCAGTTTTTCCTAAGTCCATGGCCTGCTTTGCAGAACACCAGAAAGCAGCATGCCCCTCCAGGGTTTCCAGGAACATCTTCCATGTGGACTGGTCTGCTTTCCGGAGCTTAGTGTTTCAGGGCTAGATCTCCATAATTCCAAAGGCCTGGAGCAAACCCAGAACTTCTAAGAAGCCAAGGAAGGATCCAGGGTAATTTCACTAGTTCTTGAAAGTGATATAACACACTCTTGATATTGGAAACATGGCTGTGTGTCCTTTCTGGGTTGAAATTGCTCAGTTGCTCTTTTCTCAGTGTCTGTGGATCAGTATTATCCCTCATTTTACAAGAGGCAGCTGAGACTCACACAGGGATGAATGGGACAGGCAGGGGATTAAAGTGGCCTAGAGATGAGATTTCAATGCTACCAACCTCGCATTCCCTGAAATGAGCAATGTTTTTGAAGATACTGACATCCAGCTTGGCTATAGCCATGCAACTTGCCCAGCAGAGGCTAACTAGGATTGATTCAGGGAACTGGAAACCACACAAGAAAACACAGAGGGCATGAGATAGACCTGCAGAATTTCCCACAAAGATTTATGAATCTGAAGCATCCTCCAGGAGACACAGCCTCTGAGGGTGATATCTATATAAACTAAGATGTTTTAGTCTGAGACGGATGATGGTGGACAGAGTGACAAAGATGGGTGTGTAGCTTCTAAATACCTCGCCTGTAACCTGTAATGTTTGGTATCTGGTGTTTGTGTACCCCGCCCCCACCTCCCCATCCCCGACCCAGGAGAGAAGACAAAAAGTGAGAAGATCTTGGTCAACATCTCATGATCTCATTATAATGACTGTTCTAAGTGCAATATTCTTTAGCCCCTACAGATAGCAAGGGCAGGAGGCCTTAAGGGATATAAAAGGATGGAAGTGGGATTCAATAAGAGAATGTCCCTCAGATCTGGAGAGATCTCTAAGAAAGACCATTTTCCACTCCCACGGGGGTTTGTATGACAAGCTCACTTGCTCACCCCCTTCATCACTGGGGCATACTTGAAACAAGACCCTCAACATCTATGAAAAGAGTCTACTTTTGTTGGAGAAAATATTCGCAATAAATTCAAGACCCTTCTTCTCACCAGTTAATTTTCCACCCCATGCTTCTGGAACAAAAGAGACAACAGAACATTTTTTTTATACTCTACAACTAGGGAAACAGACTTGAATTAATGCAGCAGATACACAGCCATGGGCTGCTTAGTCCAGACCTTGTGGTGTTAGCAAGCTGCGTCCTCCACTCTGCTGTCTGCTCAACCATGCATCTAACTCATGACGAGGCGGTATGTGTCACCTTTCCCCTTCACTCTTCTCTTCCTAAACAGAATTCCAGCCTAGCTATCAGGATTCTGAGTGTTTATAATGAAGCTGAATGACACCCATCATATGTCCCTTACAAGATAGTTTCTCTTCCCTGTTTTCTTTTCTACAATCGCACGTCTTCTCATCCTTGGTACCCTTTTTTTTTTTTTTTTTTGAACACCTATAAGGCTTGAAAAGCATTTGACTCATTCTTTTCTCTCTCCTCCACCACTACTCCAGCGATATGAATGCTGTTAATGCTCAGCGTTACAATGAAGAAACTGAGGTCTTCTGACATCGAATAGCTTTACCAAACCATCAGGTCACCTAGCCTGCTGTACTCAGAGAGGGAGAAATTCCAGTCTTCCCTCTCTTCACTCCCCAGTTATACCATCACTGCATCTTCCCTCTCCCCCCTCTCCTTACCTTTCCCTCCCTCACTCCTGTCCAGCTCTTTCTTTTCTCAACTGTCCTACTCTTCAGCTTCTTGGTGGACGCCAGACACTTGCTTTGGGAGTCCATCCCATTCTATTTGTATCTGGTGTGTTTGTACAGGGTGGTTTGTCCAGAATCACAACTGAACTTCCTTGTGGAAGAGCAGGACTATAACCTACAAGGAACGGCATGCACCAGCCTACTTAAAATCATTACTAGCTCCATGTCTTCCCGAATTTCGACTTAGAATCCTAGACTAGATGTGTGCAGCTCTGGAGTGTTTTCTGGTGTACTACTGCTTACTAAAGGGCTTAGAAGAGTTCTCAAGGGCTATGATCATTTAGAAACCCCATCGTTTGTCTTGGTGCTGGGTATTTCCTAGGACTGACCCTCAGTCATTCACTGGAGGTCACACTAGGCTGATTCTGATTTTCCCTTCCTTGCCGCCTAAAGGCTGTGGACTTAGCTACTCAACTCAGTTGGTCCAGAAAGCATCTTGTCCTGTGACTTTTACTGTCCGCTGGGTCTTGAATCAAGCCCCAGTTCCTGAGTGGAAATACCCAGTGCTTGCTCCTATCTCAGGCTTCACTTTCAGTCCATTTAAGAGCCTTATTCTTCGGTTTCTCCACCCTCAAATAACTGTACACACGAGCTTTCTTTTGAGTTTCTGGGATTGCTCTAGATATCAAACTGGAATTATCAGTACAAGAGGAAGTTTTCAGAATAAGATTGTGCTGGGAAAGACAGCAGTGGGGTTGAGAAAAGGGACAGGACTGAAGAGATAGCTCACAAGGTAATGTGCTCGCCACACAAATGTGAGAACCCACGTGCGGCCTCCAGAACCCACGTAAACAGCCAGGCATTATCGCACACTCTAGTGCTCCCTGTGTCAGGGAGGAAGAGACAGGAAGGTCTGTAGGTAGGCCTCACTAACCAGGTCACCTGGCCTAGCTTACTTGGTGAGCTCCAGGCAGGGGAGAGATCCCGTCTCAAAAACAAAAAAAAAACAAGAAAGTGGGCAGTGCCTGAGGAATGATACCCAAGGTTGACTTCTGGCCTGCACATGTACATGCACTCTAGTTAAGGCCCATATGCATACATGCATAGACATGCATGCGCACGCACACATGCACACACACACCTTCCTCTCACATCTGTTTTATAAATGAGAAAGCCCTAGTTCTGTGAATTCACCCAGTCACTGCAAATGTATCTAACTAAGTGTGCTTGCTCATCAATAGGATCATCGACTCACTACATTAACACTTTGTGTCAAATACTAGGTTAGGCTCTCAATAGACGACCCCAGGATCTTAGGTCTATAAAAGTGTGTGTGTGTGTGTGTGTGTGTGTGTGTGTGTGTGTGTGTGTGTGTGTGTGTGTATGCGCGCGCACGTATACTTGGGCCTAGGCCCACGATTCCAGGAAAGTCTCTGTTCATGTCAATAAAGTGTCTCTGAAGACCACACACTCTGGGTTTGCTCTGCTTACCACACGCGGCTGCTGCTTACCTCTGCCTCCACCTAGCATGCAATCTGCCCCCCACTTCCTGCACCCAGAAGACTAACCCTAGAGAATGAAAATACTCCAAAGTCTAGAGCTAAACATACTAGATGTGGGATCTGGCCTTTCAGTCCTTCCTATCCTCCACACAAACACAAAAGAAATGTGCACTCTCGTCTAGCATTGCACATTTCCTAACCAGGTGGGGAGATGCTAACTTCAAGGGAGGTCTAATGTAAGGAAGACTCAGGTGGCTTCTCTGTGGGGAGCATAAAGGCAAAGCTGTCTCCAGGATCTTGCTTCCTGGGGTGTGGTAGGAGGGTGGGTTGAGGCAAAGGTTTCTCTGTGTAACCCTGGCTGTCCTGGAACTTGCTCTGTACATCAGGCTAGCCTCAAACTCAGAGATCTG